GTCTATGCTACAACACTTGAAATGCGGGCTTATGGCCTCTCTTAGTAATAACTTTGAATGTCCGCAAAATTTTCAGAGAGCTGGACAGTACAGCGTTCTGCATCCTCTACTGAATATCACTCGATCGCGCACCGAAGATCTTACTCATCTCGAAATCTAGCTCCTTGGACCACCAAGGAGAAAAAGTGAAAACCTTCACAATGGCGTTCAGCAGTACGATCTTGTAGCCTGGGTACTGTTTGGTAAGCTCCCACCGGAGTGGTTGTTACTTCGACGTCTTTGCTGAATCCTTCTTCGCGCGATTGTCCAACCATGGACAGCTCATTTCCACAGCCAACACCCTCATGGCCTTGTGGTCTACAAATCGTGCGTCTACCCTGTTGTCTCGAACGAAAGCGTGTTCTGCGTAAACAGGAACATCTCAGTATGCTTGAGCATTCTCTGACTCGTACAACCGTTTGGGCTCCACCCGTGACTACCACTTAGGAACAGAGTCGGCAAGCTTGAAGTCCCTCGGCATTTCAAATAACAGCACCTTTGGTGCAGCATTATGCTTGCCCATGTACTTAGTCAGCGCCAGCGATGAACATTCCGCCAAAACGTGGGCAAGGCTTTTTGATACCTTACCGCACATTATGCAAATGGTGTTAATTTGGCGTGAACTATCGGTCTTATAACCCGCATAAACTCGGGTTGGTAAAAGCTGCTCATAAAGTTCCATAACCCCTGCTACAGAATGAGGAGGAGCGCTCGCTCACCCACTCAACTAGACGAAACAGCCATGTTCACTTAGCTGGTCGTCTTCCCGTCTGGTCCACAGCAGACGTCCTTGCCATCTCTGATCTTCCACCTTTTCCTTAAGCTTCTCTTCCACAGCTTTCTTAAGATGTTGTCTCACCTGACGTCTACTGATCCTCTTCTCTGGGGCTTGCTGAGAGCTACGTGGTAGATCGGGAGAGGCCAAATTCAGACTAGTCCCCAGTTCCTCCGCAAGCAGGTACGCGTCTTTCACAACTGAGGAGAACCCCTTCTCGCATGCTTTCCTTCAAATATCCGCACACTTCTCATCATTGGGTCTGGATTCTCATACAGCTTCTTAGCCGCCTTGATCTTAATTAACTTGTAATATTGTTCTACGGACTTGAGTCCACGTCCCCCTTTATCTCTTGGAAGATACAGCACTGCAGAGAAGCTAAGAGGGTGTATCCCACTATTCTCACTGATTAACTTCCTTGTGTCTATTTCACTTTGCAGCTCTTCCAATCGCCAATGTTGGGTCCACATGGGGTACATCAAGACAGGTAAGTCGAACTGGTTTGTTGCCTAGATGCGGTTTTCGTCTTGCAGAGGGTTGTCCGGACTCTCTCACACCCAGGAACACGTACTTGGCCCCAGTCTTAAGGTTCGCGACCAAAGTTGTCTCGTCCAGCTTGAGGTCTACAGCATCTTCAACTTGCTTGCCCTTTCTGACATAGATAACGTTGCACTTCTTTGGGTTTCACTGCAAGCCCATATCCTGCATCGCGGTACTGGTGGATCGTAGTGCCCTGTTTAGCTTGCTCTCAGATGAAGCGAACACTTTAAGATCGTCTACATACAGCAAATGTGTCACCTTAGTCCCTACAGGCTTAGAAAGCCTATACCCCTACGTAGCATTTAGTTTCCAACAACCGGGTTTAGACATAAAGTGAAGAGATGCGGGCAAAGTGAGTCTCCCTGGGGCAGACCTTTATTGAATCTGATGGACTAGAAAGTCTCATTTGCCTGCTTTGTAGGAACTGCGATTCTGCTATTCCAGTTTGGACAGAGGTTCCGGATCGCCCTACAGAGCCAGAGCCGGTGAACTTCCATACTCTCGTTTAGGCAGTTTTGATCAACAGAGTCATAGGCCTTCTTTACATCCACCCAAGCCATGCTTAAATTCCGTTTACCACGATGGTAATCCTGCGTGACCATTTTGTCAATCAAAAGGCTGCCCGTGGTACTACTGCAACCAGCCTTGTCTCCCCTTTGCTCACCTTCCATTAAATCATACTCATTTAGATGACTGTCTAAAGGAATGTGAATACACGATGTGAACAACTTGTACATGCATGCTACTCTAAGCAAGTTATTGGTCGCTGATCATCATCACCATAACCATTACTATTACTATTATCCCAAGCATTGGAGCTAATATGGATTTTTTTTTTACTAAACTGGCAAAACTTTCCAAGAGCAAGACGGTTTATTTCCTTCATTCTTTTCTTTTTCGTGTGTATGGTCTCCAGTAAAGAGCACTGTGGAGAATAAAGTAGAGAGCCTAAAATGTCTCTAAAATACGATTTTGCGACTTTCATCGTGACTATTTGGACCCGCTCAATTTGTCAAATGCACTTGATTTCTCCTGGATTTGAAGTGTCTAAGACTTAATCAAGCTTTAAAAGAAGAAATGACAAATTTATCCTCGTATGTACCCGGGCGTCCCCCATTAAAAATAAATAAATAAATAAATAAATAAATAAATAAATAAATAAATTGTAAATTGCTTTTTTACCCACGAAGCACTTAAGAGTTCATATGCACTCGTTTAAACGCGTCCGTGCGTTCCAGATCGAATTGGAATTTGGAAGTGATGGCTTTTGAGGAAAGGGGAAAACCGGAGTACCCGGAGAAAAACTTCTCGGAGCAAGGGAGAGAAACAGCAACAACCTCAACCCACATAATTATGGCGTCGACGCAGGGATTTGAACCTGGGCCATATTGGTGGGAGGCGAGTGCTCTCACCACTGTGCCACCCTTGCTCCAAGTTGCATTGACGCCTGTGATAACGAATTTTAAAATGTTATCAGTTTACCTGAACAGAAACCACACCACCGTCGACAATTTTGCAAGGACCAGTAGAAATAAGCAGAACAAAAGCTATTTGGGAGATGCGGGCACACAACTTGTCTATCAGAGCAACCCGCTGTAAAACAGAGAGAAAAGATAAATAAACGAATAAATAAATTAATTAATTAACAAATACCCTTTTAAAAAAATCTGTTTACGAAGTGAAAACAAAAACAAATGTCTATTTAACAATTAGTCGCAGAAGGCGACGTTAATATCCGCGAATAATCACCAAGACGAAGTCGAGGGGACTATTCGTCGATATTTGTGAGCTTTATGCAAGATAGTCCCTAATACATACCTCCACAAAAACCACATGTTTTTGCGCAATATGTTCTAGAGAAGTTAAAACTATTCACACAGAAATTTCCGTGGGCTAATGATGAACAGAGGTTCGGGAAGAGATCAGAACAACCTGCACATGAAACAAGAAGAACGATAAGCATAGCAAAAGTAATCAATCCTTAAAAACTGTAAGCCGAGGTGGGTTAGTTGATTAACATTTTTCTCGGGTCTTGCTAAGTCGTTAATTATTGCCTTTACCTATATACAAAATACCCATGTATAGACATCCATCAGGGAGCTCGAACCAAAATAATTTTTTGGTGATTTCTACAGGCATAGCATTTAAAACATGAAAAAACGTACCCAATTTTTTCAAGTTTTAACCTCAGATTCTATACTTGCCATCCGTAACAACAGACGACAGGAAACAGTTTTAATAAAAAACAAACAAACAAACAAACAAAAAAAACAAAACAAAACAAAACAAACCAATAAAACTAGGTAGCAAATATCGTGACATACCCCCTTAAATACAGTTGAACCTCCATTAAGCGGTCACCCTTTATTAAGCAGCCAGTATTTAATGTCCCGGACTAATTGTAGGAAATGGAAAATTAAACCTCTTGTATTAAACGGCCACCTCTATTAAGCGGTCGTGACCACACCTTTTGGCCGTCCCAACGAGAGTTCTCCCATTGTTGTGACCTCTATAAAGCGGTCATCAAGCCCTTGATACACTTTTTTTTGGCTCATGAACGAAAATACTGATGATGACCGATTGTGGACTAATACTGCTTATTCTGTCGCGTTCTTATTTTAAAATAAAGCGATTTGTCCACTAAAGATTAAAGTTGTGTTTAGTAATGACGAACTCCTATCAAGCGGCCACCCTTCGTTGAGCACCCACTTAACGGTTTACTTGTACCCCGAACTGTATGCATATTCTTACTGAAGTATCAAATTTTCTGGATGTATCTTACAATATTGCGTAGTCACTCAGCGAGCCCTTACAAATTAAAATCAGTAAATTCAGCTGCCACATAATAGCAAACATTTTTCTCCACGACCAGAGTCTGTCGATGAAACGAGCATGCATGAACAAGGAAAATCATGAAATCCAAAGGGCCGTGTAAAAAACGAGCAGTTTAAACTCTCAAACTGAACATAAAACAACAAAAATAGTTTTCGCTAAAAAGTTTCTTTAAACCAGTAGTGCGCATTTTGTTCTTAGATGTTACTCTGCGAAAATTTTTGTAGGTTACATGGCAATTAGGGAAGTAGAAAACTTAAAATCAATAAACCGCAAGCAGAGTTGTGGGAATTTAGAATCCCAAACAGAAGGAATGGATTTTTTTTTGGCTATACAAACATGGCGAAGGCTTCTAACTCAAGACTATCAAGTTTCTAACCGCTCGCGGACCACTTTCAAACAGTAACAAAGTTTATTCCCGTCGAAAATGCACTTAGCTTTCCAGCTAGTTTAGTTTACACGCCCTTCCTTTATAATAATTAGAAACAACAACAACAAAACTAAAACAAGTAAATACCAGAATTCAAACAGGTCAGCAACAAAAACAACAATGGCCAAAAAACAAGCAAACAAACAAACAATGACAACAGAATTGGCGTATTTAGGATCATCGATCCTGGGATTTGAGCTCGGGACGTCCTAAAAACAAATTCAGCTACTGTAGAAGAAGCGGGACTAGAACCCGAGACTGCCGGATGGTACTGCGAAGCACTGACCACTCAACCAAAGCGCGGCCTCTTATTCCAAAGATACTTCTGTTTTTCATCTTAGCTTTAAACAAAATAAGTACCAAGTATTTTAAAATTAATTTACCTCCAATGCTTTGATTCGTCGGCAACACAGAAGGACTAAAACAGCTTCCACTGGTGATTAACACATCATCGATTGCGATATCTCCTGTAAATGATGATCCCACAATACCTTCAATGGTTACCTATAAGTGAAATACAAAGCATTAGGAAGTATCTGATTCAACCAAGTGGCATCGATGCAAGTGGCAACCAAAATGACAGTGAAAACGGCGTGATCATGAAAGAGGTAATCTACACAAAAGAAGCTATGATTCACATAGCGAATGGTGAATTTTTATCACATCTGTATCGTTGCGCACAAGCACATATCAACATTTAAATTTAGTCTTAGCATTATGCTTGACTTTTGTCTCATTAATCTAGTTATAATAAGTGGTCTTAGCTACCATGAGTCTCCTGTAACTTTGTGATAGAGCATCTAGTCTAGAAACCACAAGGTCACAAGTTTGTCTCCCATTGGGAATACTGAGATTTTCTCCTCTAAGCCACCCTGTTTCACAGACTGAAAATTAACGCGCTCATAATTTCACTTGCGCAAGTATCTAAGGCAAGGACACTTGATAGATCCAGTAATCCGAGGAGGATCTATGGAAAGATAGTGAGGAGGTTTAGCAAGATAATTTGATGGATCCTTTTTGTGTACTTAGGATTTTCAACCGATCTCTGAGGATATTAATTGATTTCTGAAAACGTACAGCCGTCTGAATACCAACATTCAAGCTTTATTAAACTTACAACGTGACGCAAATAAATCGTTTCCCTTGCTCGTATCCAGCTGTTGCTCTGGTTCCCAGATACATTGAAGACCAACTCATTTCCACTGTAAACATTAAGAGTCCCTATGGTATCACCATGCATGTGATAATAGAAATCAAGACAAGCTGCTGCACCATTTCCAGGAACTGACACTTGAAGTTTTGCGTTGTCACCTTGTCGCCTAGGTAACGAAGTCTCTATATACATGTAGTAACCTGTAAGGTCACAACGGTAATAGTAATGATATTGATAGTAATAATGATGAACATTTAGAACAAAAATCATTACTGTTATTCCTCAATTAAGCGATTCCCTTTTTAAAGACATGTCCCCCCTTTAGAAGAAAAAAAAATCATTAAGTAATGAACAGTGAATGTCAGTAAAAATCAAAGAAATGGCAAGGGCTGAGGTTGCTTGCTTTCTTCAAATGCGTGAGATAAACAAACACGCGAGATGGATATAACTTTAAGTAAGAGTAACCGATCATAAATGCATTATCGGTATTTCATAGATTTTCGACACGGTATTTACAAATTTTTCTTACGGTATTGCGGTATTGAGTACCCCCCCCCCCCCCAATATCCCCCTCTTCAAATAAGCCCTTCCTCTTTATTCACATCTCTCCCCGTCCCCTTTTTTAATATGGGCGAGGATTAATTAGCGGCATTTTAATTACTGCGCTTTTCAAAAACACGCGAACTCTGAAGTTCAAAAGCCAACTGACGTTTGTGTTTTTCGCTGCCGTCAATCATCTTAACGGACCTCTTAGGAAACAGAACTTCACTTAAACAGGTTCAAAAGGTCAAGGTTTGTGATCTGTGATTTATGGATTTCGATCCGGTTTGGATGTTTCTGTGTTTCAAGGTTCATTGTTTGTGATCGTAACTATGTTTGACGGCAGCGAAAAAAGCAATTGTGAAGGCGGCTTTTGAACTTTAGAGTTCGAGTGTTTGTGAAAAGCGCAATTATAGCGAAATTCCTTGTATCGCGCTGTGCGTTTTGCTCATTTTGGGTTTTCTATTCTGTCAATCATTTTAGCGGACCTCTTAGGAAATGCATGTTACTTGCACGAGTTCAAAAGGTCATTGCTTGTGATTCGTTATTGGTGGATCTCGATCCGTTTTGTTTCTTTCGTGTTTCAAGGTTCGTTGCTTTCTCATCGTCCTGTGTTGGGCAATAATCGACTAGTTAAGTTTGCTTCGCAGATTTTTTATGATCTTTCTCATTCCTGTCACTTGCAAGAATAAAGAATAAAGCAACGTCTGCCTCCTTCCTTCGACAAAAACTCCATTCACCATCGCGATGTTCTTCGCTGTTCTTGAGCAGTCTAGAGTCATTCTCAGCCAAGCTGCGCGAGCACGTTACATTGTGATTTGCACTAACCCCGTCTTCACTAAAATGATTGACGGAACAGAAAAACCTAAAATCCCTTCTAAGTTTGCAAAACGCGCAATGTGATACAACGAATTTCGCTGTAATACTGTAATTCCAATTGTTATTGCTGGACGCATAAATAAGCAAACTGGGCATGAAAATGCTGCCAGTTGACAGTTATTTCTAATAGTTTGCTAACACCCAGAATATACTGCATAAAGGAGCGAGAACAAACACGGACAAAAAAAGAACCGGACAAAAATTATTCAAGTTCATAACGACATAGTGATTTTTTTGCCCAGATTTATCAAGATGCCAACAGAGTAAGGTCTCATTTGCGAGGGTCTTAATTGTCTCAATTGGGTGGTAGCTTTGACGGTTATTTTCTTCCAATTTTGACAGCTGGTGGTTGAATTTTAGAGCTTTTGACGGTTGACGGTTATTTAGTGCAAATTTAATCCAAGAGCTAAAGTAAATATTTACTTCTATACAAATTAATGTTAACTGTTGTGTTTTGGCGGTTGTCTTGGCCTTTCAGTTGTAACATTTCCAAATATTTCCAGATAAAGCAAGTTCTGAGGCCTTGCAATTAAGAGATTCCCCAGGAGCCAAAGCCAGACGGAGTCTGTGAAGATTAGCTGAAATAGCGAGATTTTAAAAAAAAAATACCTTGAAACTTTTTGACGGTTAATATTAATCTGCATTTTTGACGGTTGACGGTTAAGTTTCAGGCCGTTTGAGAGCTTAGGGTTAACCCCATCGAGACCCTCATTTGCAACAAGACTTTGTGCCGTGAAACAAAATATTGTAGACCTTGTAACGGTTTTCGACGCCATCTTGACCAGTAGGCAACCGCGTGAGAAATTACAGTGTTTATATGAGAATCTAATGTCAAATAATTTGCGTACAAAGGCTGTTCTGAAAAAAAAAAAAAATGAATTGTAAACTAAAGCTACAAAGCAAAGGATTGTACTAAAAAAGAATTGGGGCATTCGTGTGCTTAAATTTCTCTAGGGCTTACAATGCTTCAGATTTTCCATATATTTGAGTGTAATTTTTCTCGGGACTTTCCTACAGACCAATGTATAGAAAGTTTTAAAAAGTGGTTCCAGGTCTTCTAGAGCATGTAACGCCCTCAATAGGCCACTTCCGAGTTCCAAAATCCTCACTTTCAAATGAGGCTAGGTGCACAATTTTTCTTGTTAAATGAGTTTTATTTGCATGAGAATGAAAAATGATTTCCATATCAAAGGCTGAGCACCTACCCTCGTTTTGAAACAGAGGCCAGGGGGAACTCGGAAATGGCCCATTTGTTTCAGTAGAATCATTAAGAGTGAAGCTTTAGTTTACAATTCATTTTTTTTTTTCAGAACAGCCGTTTTACGGAAATTATTCGACAGGAGACTCTCAAACAAACACTGTAATTTCTCACGCGTTTGCCTACTCGTCAAGATGTCGTCGAAAACCGTGACAAGGTCTGTTGATAGTGGTGACGAAAAAGGTCTCGTCGACTGATAACTTGCTGATACTGAGAATTTATTTATTGTGTTAGTGTTAGTATATGTACCGTTTCCAGTAGTGTGATCTGATGACGGCCCCGTATTTAAAGATAAAGTACTTCCTCTTTGGCGTGTCCAGTCAAATATGTCTGAGGAAGACTGACCCCATCCATAACACAATCCATTGTCAAAGTTACAAGATGCTTGAGCAGAAGGCGACGTCCAGGGCGACCATGTTGTCCATGGCACGGACGTTGTTGGTGCTATTAGTATAGAGAAGTTGCATATTATTTTAAGACGAAATCCACCAGGACATTAACTAATTTTGATTTTCAGTGCACAAAAATCTTGTACCAGAATAATTTAGAGCCTATTGCATTCTTTCTTACACTTTTCAAGGGCTAAAGATGTAATAAATTATCTGTAGTAACCCCCCCCCCCCAAAAAAAAAAAAAAAAAAAATTCTGATGGGAGCCCGAGAAAATGAGTGTCAAATATCACAAAATTACTCAATTTCCTGATGGATTCCGTCTTAACGTCTCCCGACTTTCAGTTCAACAACACATTTGAACTCAGGGCCTTTTACCTGGAATTCGGAGTAAAAGTTACTTCGCTTGGCTCACAACTCGGCAGCGTGGCCTAGAGTTCAAGGAAATAGGGTGTACTATGTATTCACCGTGAAAATGCTCTTAGTTTCCAAGCTACAGGAACAATCGGAAACAATGAATAATCCAAATAGAACACAGCTTTAAAACAATAACAACAACAATAACAAACACAACTTGCAAGTGGCAATCTGCAGCTATTTACAAGTATTCGGAACGGGGAATAAAACCAGGGACTGCCGGATGGCAAGAAGTATTGACCACTTGGCCACGCCGCCTTCTATAAAGAAATTACTTTTCCTCTTTGGCTATCTTAACAACAACAACAACAACAACAACAACAACAAAAGTTAATGGGTAATAACACGCAACTGAGGTGATGCACACAAGGAATTTAACCAACTATTTTAAAGCCTAATCCAATTACTGGACTATTTACCTCCAGCGGTATGATTATTACAGCTTGCATTGGTGATTGCCACATCATCGATAGCTATATCTCCTGTAAATGAAGACCCCGCAATACCTTCGAAGGTTACCTATAAATATAGTACAAAGCAATGGGAAAAAATTCATACACTTGGAGAAAATGTATTTATTTATTTAGTTAATTTATTTGTAAGTCAAACAAGTTGGATCGCTGCAAGCGGAAACCGTTGTGAAATAAAATAAGTAAATAAACAAATAAATAAATAAAGCCATGGCTTATAAAAGAGAGGAAATCAACAGGAAGAAAAGTAAGATTCAAATTCCCCTTAAAATTAGATTTACATGTAGTGGCCAATTTTAATGTAGAATTGGTAGCACGTTGATCTCTAAAAAGATTAACGTAAGGGGTTTTAACGAAATAACTAGATTCTTTTATATCATCTGTAGGATTATCAACCAATCTCTGAAGATCTTCAAAGAATTCTGCATATATTAGATGTATGTAAAGATTTTAGCCGTCTAGCCCCGGTTGTTCAAAGAGTGGATAACCGGGGCCTGAAATTTAAGACCAACAGTCGCTCATCCCATTAAAGGGAATCCAAAACAGTCTTAAATTCTAGATTTTACGCAATGGATTCCTGACCTTTGTCAATGGAACTTGGATTCCGGATTCTAATCTTAGTGGGATTCCGGATTCCTAGAAAGGTATTCCGGATTCAAAATTAAAGCCAGGATTCCGGATTCCACGAGCAAAAAGTTTCCAGGATTCCGAAATAGGGATTCCATTACATGAGGCAAAGTCGCGTTTCCTTGAAAATTCACCTTTATCAAAATTACACTGTGTTGCAAATAAATTGTTTCGGTTGCATATCGAGATTTAAGTTAGCCTTAGCAGTATCCAGGACGTTTGTCACATGACCCTAGTCACTGTAGCTAAGTGGTACAGCACCTAAACTAGTAACCAAGGGTCATAGGGTCGACAGTCGACTTTTAATGCCGGGAAGTACTGGGATTTTTTCCTCAAAGCCACCTGTTTCGGTGACTGAAAGATCATAATCTTTCTCATAATTTCAATTTTTTGTTCGAAAACAGGCAAAAATGATCTTTAAAAATATCGTGAGAGAGTTTGGCAAGGTCGTTTGATAGACATCCTTTTACGTCCTTAGGATTTTCAGCCGATCTCTGAAGATTTTCAGAGAAATCGATTTTTGAAATTTAATCAATACCAACAGTCGTGATTTCTTGAGAACCAAAATGTAGTAAACTTACATTGTTTCGCAAATATATCGTTTTTCTTGCTCGTATCCAGTAGTTTCCCTGGTTCCCAGATACACTGAAAACCAACTCATTTCCGCTGTAAACATTAAGAGTCCCCATGGTACCACCATACATGTGATAATAGAAAACGAGACAAGCTTCTGCGCCATTTCCAGACACTGACATTTGAAGTTTTGCTTTGTCACCTTGTCGCCTAGGGGACGATGTCTCTATATACATGTAGTATCCTGCAAGAGCATAATTGTAATAACTACAATGAAATTGATAGTAACTTGATGAAAATTTAGATTAAAAATCATTACTGTAAACCGAGATGACAGTGAAATATGCCTCTCGCCTTTTTCCCCACCCGCCCCTACCGCGTCTTCCCAATATGGACGAGGATTAACGTATTTAAAAAGAAAACCTTCCAAAGACTTGATAACGAGGATTTTCAAGGAATCGACATTTGAAATTCTCAGTGTTATTGCTGCGTGCATAAATAAGCAAACTAAAACAAAAAATGCCGTCATACTTTCAGGTTATTAATCAGTTGATATTTGTCTCTAATACCTGGACAGGAACCTGGATTATTCTGCTTTAAAGAAATAGAAAAATAACCTAGGCTTCGAAACAAGCTATATCAATGCTGATCAAAACAAGTTTTCAATTTACTGATTTATTACTATTATTGTTTTATTAAGCTTCAGTTAAATCGAATTCATTTCAATGCATTGGAGGTAGGCTTATATCTGGATTGGAAGGAGTAGACCGTGTATATGAGCTTACAACTGGGGGTGGGGCGGGGCTTATTATTGGGCGAGCTTATAAGCGGCAATTAACGGTACATATATATATATATATCTGTTACAAGACAGAGCCCCTTGTGAAATTATTTACAGTGTAATCGTGTACCGTTTCCAGTAGTGTGATCTGATGAAGGCCCCGTATTTGAAGATGAAGTACTTCCTCTTCGGCGTGTCCAGTCAAATACGTCTGAGAGAGACTGACTCCATCCATAACACAATCCATAGTCAAAGTTACACGATGGTTGGGCAGATGGCGACGTCCAGGGCGACCACGTTGTCCATGGCACAGACGTTGTTGGTGCTGTCGATAGAGAGAATTTGATTATTTTGTTAAGGTTTAGGCGGTAGCTGTTTACTATACGCTACCAAACAAACAGACACACAATCGTAAAAAATAAAGACATAAGATCTTTCCCTCAACTCTTTTACTACTGTATCTTCCATAATATTGATTATTTGCTTGGGCTCCTACTTCAAATTAACATTTATCTAATCAGTTTTCTAAAGCATTTATAGCACTAAGCGAAACACAGATAAGATGTGTTGTGGTTCAATTTTTTTCAAGCCAATTTTATCCATGTACACATTGCCCCGGAGAGCTTGTTCGCAGGCTATGGTAAAGGAATCAATCAATCAATCAATCAATCAATACCCAATTTTAGTCTCATTTTGGGCTCCATATAAAGTGCAGCGGCCTAATACGGCTCAGTTAACTAAAAAAGAATTTGAATAAACGTTATTACTTCTGCCTTTTTTTTTTTGTGCTGGGAAACCTAATGATGAAAACAGAAATCAGTATCCTCACATTAGAGAAGCTTCGCCTCCTTTGCTGTTACTGCTTTGGATGGTTTTCAAAATGACGTCATCAAATTGTAAAGTCAAGATAGCGAGGTTTTACGAATTCTTATTTACGTTAGATTGAAGAAAAAAACAAAATATAAATCTTTGTACAAGTCTCCAGTCCCGTAGGATATTTCATTTCGAAAATACAGCAATTTGAACTTCCGAGTTTTCATAGCGCGTGACACCAAAATAGGAAATGCTGTCTCATTGAAAAAAGTCTATCCTCTTCATTTTTAGCAGTTTAACCATTTTAGGCATTAGAAGATGTGTTTATGCGCACGTATGCTAACTCCCGAGTGAAAAGAAAGAGCTTTTTTTTTTTTTATAGAAAAAAGTGAACTCCAGATGGTTTTTGTTGATCTCCGGCGGCCATATTGGTGTACCAAAACTGTACGCCAATATGGCGTCTCCGTACAAAAGCTCCACAAAGCTACCTGAAACATTTATGCAAATAACTCAGAAACTGTGGGCCACAAGACCTGAGACTTGAACAAATTGTTTATATATTAGTCTTTTATGAATTTCATTTTTTACTTGGCTTCTTCCACTGGACGGTTTAAATTTTTTTTTTTGTTCGCTGTTTATTGCGTGACAGTGAAAAACGAACTATACAATAATGATGACGGTGATGATGAAGAAGATGCGAAAGACCACTCAAGTTATCCGATTCAAAGTTGTAGGAATGTCTCCTAAAAATAAAGTTGTATCACCTGAAAGAAGAACAACAACAACATACCTCCTGAGCATATCACTGATGCGTCTTCACTGTGAGCGCAGTTATGAATGCCCCAACCACTATGCCGACAATAGACAATTGAACTTTCACTGCCTACGCAAGCAACATCATCCAGCCAAATTCGACCACTTCCGGCACCAAATCGAGCAAATCCTGGAGCACTTACAGCGCCAGGAAACCCGAGTTGACGACAAACGACTTGCGCGTCATTTATACCCCAGGAGTCATCACAAACGGTTCCCCAGATGTTATTATGATACACTTCAACTCTTCCTTCCCAGCTTCCAGATCCTCCAACCAGTCTCAGGCCTAAAGTCCACGAAAAAAATGGGTACGTAAAATGTATTTGTGTTATTTTCTCTTGTAAATAATGTCTGCAGCCTTTCTGGAATGACGAGGGGTGCAAGATCATAAACCAGTTTAAAATGTATTTGATATAAATGATCAACCCAATTTGATGAGCTTTAAGAGATATTGAATTGAAAAATATAAACGAAAAAGCTCAAAATAAATTAATAGTAGATTGAGAATAGTGATTAATAAAGAAAGAACTAAAAAGCCCTAATATTGTCAGCATTAAAATTCATTGTGCAGATTATTTATAATTTTGTCTTCTCTTCCATTCACTAGTTTTTTTTTTTTTTTCTCCATTTTATAAAGTTTTTCTTCTTATTGACTTTGTAACATTGGATATGTGATTTTTATCCAGTGATTAACAAAGTATTATACTTTATGAGAAAAATTATCATTATCATTATCATTATCATTATCATTATCATTATCATTATTATTATTATTATTATTATTATTATTATAGAGGAAATAACGGGAGATGTAAAGAATCAACCATAAGAGGACACAGACAAAAAAAATCTGAGCCCCAGATGGGATTCGATCCCACGACCTCCGGGTGTTCTAGATCGGATGCTCTAACCTCTGAGCTACTGAGGACTCGTTGGCGAACAAGGGTCATTTTATTGGTTGAACTTGCCAACCGCATCACGCAGTCACGTAGTCCATCACAAGCAACACATTAAGGCTTAACTGCATCACGCAGTCACATTAACTGCAAGAAATGACTCGCCTATGAAGGAGCCTGCAACCAACCAACCTATGCCTTTGATATTAGTACACCTTTTGTTGTTCATTACGAGAACGCTCAATTGACTGTACAAGCGCATTAATGTTTGTCTTATCCATCCTTAGGTTGTCCAGGAATGCTATTGAATTGCAAACAGTGTCATAAAAAAATGTTAATGAATAGTGTTTGCACTGTAATGTATATCAGTTGTCCCAATTGACTTTCAAGATGGTGTTAATGACTTTGATGTTAGCGTTAATGAAAGTATATTTTTCTCTTTGGTATGTCGAATGACGCAAATGAATGCCCACATATGTCATTGAATGTTGATTAAAATGCAAAAATCGTTATTGGATCTGATTCAGGCGCAAATGTTCGCTTTATTGCGCTAATGAATGTATCTCCGCGCTGATGGTCGCCGTTTCTGGCCACAAATGAATGCGTATTTTCTCGTAATGAACAGCAAAGGTGTATTATAAAGGAAATAAATGGAGATGTAAAGAATCAACTATAAGAGGACACAGAAAATCCCGTCTGGGGCTCAGATTTTTTTCCGTGTCCTCTTATGGTCGATTCTTTACATCTCCCTTTATTTCCTTTTTATAATGCTTATATCAGTGGCATAGATTATTATTATTTTCTTGTTCACGTTCCTTTTCAGACTGTACCTGAGGCGCCAGGGGAGGTGGAGAAGGGGTAACATATCCATTCATTTTGTTGATTATCCAGGATTTCAAGTTACGAACGTTAGCATACACGGTTGGCTTCCAGTGGGATGCACAAGGAGGCCCGTCCAGCTGGCAGCTCCTTCAAGATACCATTTACCACCAAATTCGCACACAAGTGGCCCTCCGCTATCACCATGACAGGCGCCCTGACCTCCCCTGGACTTTTCCAATGCATATCATGGAGTCGTCTATTTTCCCAGGGTAATAATTGAGGCAGCGTTGTTTAGATACGAGTGGCAAATCAACCTGCATCAGTGCGTTTGGCTGTGGACCAGCATAATAAATTGTTCCCCAGCCAGTGATCCAACAGGGCTTGCCAGAATTATCAAATGGAAGCTGAAAATTTTCATTTGAGAGACAAACCAAGCCAACCTTTGCCAAGCACAGCTGGTCTTGATAACCCGAGCAAAAGCAATATCGTTGCTATATGTGTTTGGGTAGATAGTTTTCGTGCAGGATTATCCTTAGAACGTCAAAAATCCTGTTCTGTTCCAATGGTAGACCATAATCTGTAATGAGCTCCCAATCTTTCAAGACAAACAGAAAATGCAAAAAAATAAAACAATTACTCAGAAGGTTTGGTTATCTATCCATCCGAGAAAATTTGGTAGTCACGTGACCACGCCCGCCTGCCCGTCACTAAAAATCAGTCACCAAAAAGCCTGAATTTCACTAACAGTTATAATAAAATTATTAAATTAAGTATACTAATATAGTCCAATAAGTTAAATAAATAAATAAATAAATAAATAAATAAATAAATAAACCCTTTTTAGAGGAAAATGCAAAATTAAAAAAAAAAAAAATGGTTGTCCAATGCTGACGTGCATGACACGATGACTTTAAAATGTTTCCAGCTAATTTTTAAGGAAAACTCGGTAAGTTAGTAGTCATGGCTTTTAATGGTTTTGACGTTATTCAACTTTTTATTGAGAGGCAGCCCCCAAAAGCGCTCCCGGTCTGAATAAGGTTAAAAGACGTGGTTAAAATGTGTTCTTCAAAATTCCTGTTGTTGTTCGGATCTGTATCTAAGGACAGTTTAAACCATGTTTCACTTAGAAAAGCCCTTGAGTTTTTATATATTTTAAACCAGTTTCAAAATATTGAACAACAAATCACAAATGTATTTTATCCAGTGTAAAGCACCATTGCAATGCAATTTTTACCCTATTTTAAAATCTGTTTGACAAAAACTGATTAGAAACAGTTCTTTAAAGTAGTTTCAAATACATTTAAAATACTGTTAGACATGTTAAGGGTAGTAAAAATAACAAATCCATAGTCTCATTTGCATTCATCCGTTTTGTTGTACCTCGCAACTTTTAACATTGCATGACGTTAGAACACTTCAGCACGTGCTTGAAAATAAATTACGAGCTGCCTCATACATTGCCATAATGCAAAACAAAGGAAAATGAAATCCCCACGTCTCCTAAATACCCATTGATGGACTTTTTATTCTTACCTTACTTTAACATCTGACAAGGACTTCCTTCTACACAGTGAGTTGCTGTTAAACCCACTGGGATGGATTAAAAGATCCTCCACAGAACTGTCTCCCACTGCTTGATAGTAGCATGGCCTGCCAAGGCCAACTATTTATAGGTGCCTCGGAGCCGTTAACAATCCGAGAGGTACGAACACTTGGTCTTATGCCACATGACTGTAATGATAATATAATTTAATATTCTAGGTAACATATTTTCCTGAAAATCGATAATGAGAAGCACTCAGCATTATTTGAAGACGAAAATACATGAATGTTCTAAAAGAAGATTTATAAATTTCTATGTTTTCTCAATACATTTTCGACAGTTCAAGTCTAAATTACATGAGACAGCTCTAACCCCGTAATCCATTGTCGTTTAGAAAGTAGCAGACTATTTGCATCAAATGTGTTCATTTCTTTGAGAAAACGGCAACGGTAATTCAAATATTCATACAGAAAGAATTAAGTCTTTGCTTGTCGCTTTGGTGGCTTGACCCAGTATTTAATAAAACACCCTCCAACTTTGAATCTCTTATGCTTAAACAAATCGATCTTTATTGTAAACCCATTATAACAAATAAATTACACTTACACTAAACTTTATTACAGCAATACATGTAACTGAACGAAGTACAACAA